CTACACACTAGACACAGGAATATAATGATGAACTAGACAGACCAACTCCACCCTCCTCTACCTCTTTATCTGGGAGTGGAAAAAAGAAATTAAGCAATTACAATGTAGTGGTAATTAATAGAGAAGGAAAAGTGTGGGGTGCAGTGGCAGCACCTAGGAGGGTACCTATCCCAGGATATTGGTTAGGGAGGGACATGGGGCGTGGGGAGGGATGTGGGCAGGAGTGTGGAAAAGCTTTTTGTTAAGGCGTCATTTCAGGCTTTACTCTCCTTACAAAGGCCTGAAGGCAAGGGAGTTCAAGATACACTTAGAGACTTGGGTTCAGCTTGGTTGCAGCATAACAGAAAGGAGTGGTGAGAGCCCCAGTGCACTACACCTTTAAACTGCAACCCAAGCATGGACACAGTTCCTTTTGGTGGGTTCTCCTTTAAAAGAGCAGGCACCAGGAAGAATTAAAAACCTAGCAAATCTTTAGGCCCTGACCTTTTGCATCCTGTCTGAGAACACTTATTTATATTCTAGGCCCAGAAAGCTAGCACAGCTTGGTGAGGAGCATGCATGTAGTGGCAAGAATTCGAGGTTAGAAAGATCTGCTTTGAATCCCCGTTTGAGAACACTAGTAATACCAACCTCACTCAGATTGTGTCAAGATTAAATGAAGTAACAAACGTGAAGCATCTTGCACACACTAGGCATTCACAAAATTTCTCTTCTGCCCCATTACCTTGCTTCTGAGCCCTCTGCTGGCCTCCTAGCCAAAGGCACCATGTCTTGGTCCACCACACTGACCCCATATGTGACAGAGGGCAGTGCTCCCTTGGCCATCCAATGCAGTTCTAGTCTCTACCCTCTTTCTCAGTGAACCCAGGATTAGACAAACTAGAAGTATTCCAGCACAAAAATCCCTGTCGTACAATAACTGTAGCATCTGTTAAAAAAAAAAATATGGGGGCACCTGGGTGGCTCAGTCGTTAAGCGTCTGCCTTCGGCTCAGGTCATGATCCCAGGGTCCTGGGATCAAGCCCCACATGGGGCTCCCTGCTCCGCGGCAAGCCTGCTTCTCCCTCTCCCACTCCCCCTACTTGTGTTCCCTCTCTCGCTGTGTCTCTCTCTGTCAAATAAATAAAATCCTTAAAAAAAAAAAAAAAAATATATATATATATATATATATATATATATATATATATATGCCCATACACAACTGAGACTTGTTCTACCACCCTATCTTTACATTTTGTATCTTTTTCGCTATTCGGCAGATAAGAGTTCAGAGCGGTTAAGTGACTAACCTTGATGTAAGCTTTGCATGTAGCTCATTTTCTACACAGAGTTGTGTCAACTCTACAGAGGCTGCCTCCCAGCAAATATTGCAACGGGCATATATTTTAAGGTATACTTTTAGTTTCTTTTTAACGTTGTGAGGGCTCAGAGAAACATGGGCTTTTACAACTATATACCCTTCTGTCAATTTCTAACTTTGTATCCTTTCACACAAATTTTAAGTTCTCTATATGCAAAACTAAAGGGGGATGGCGGGATCTCTGAATCCTATTTCTGCCCAAGAATCATTCCCATTACTTTAGTAATAAGCAGCACTTACAATTTGCATACCTGTGCAACTATACTCCTAATAGGAAAAATGAAGCTTCCTATTTTCTTAATAATAAAAAACGGTCTCCTCTGTGAAAGCGAGAGCACAAATGAGAGGTTTAACTTCAGCTGCTGATTTCAAATGGAATTATTCCCTCATATGATCAGAATAAGATTCCTTGAAGGTCACCTGTTCTAAGCCCAGTCTTCGTCTAGGGAGCTGTCTACTTTGCAAAGGTGTCCTCCTCCCTTGTGAGCAGCTCAGGTTGGGTCCACAAATGATCCTATTCCTGCCTCCCAAGAATATCTAAATAAATCTTTCCCCAAGCACCCCTTCCCTTCTACTGTTTCTCCCAAAGGTGGTGCACAGCTTATCTGGATCAGAATCACCTGGGGTACTTATTAACAGGCAATTTCTGGGTCCCAACATCCACCTGAATTGACCCAGCAGTGAGGCATTAGCTTTCTATAGTACCCAGTAGGTTCATTCTTAATCAAATATTCAGGTCTTTTCCACCAAAAAAGTCTTCAGCAAAATCTCCCTCATCTTGTACTAAAAACAACTGGTTCTTAACTGGCTGATAAAAATGCTGAGTCAGACAGTGATCTGTGTTCAACACCTGATACCCCTCCTCCAGTTGCTCTATATATTAGGCTTATATTGCAACTGTGTACAATTATTCAGCCAAACAAGAATATACCTAACTATATTGTCATCCACTTTACATTCCCTATGTTGTTCACAAGGATATCACTCTGAATATTTTGTGGAAATTCTGAAATTATGGCATCTACAGAATTCCCCAAAATACCGGGTAATGTAACCCAAATTATAAAGTACATGAATTAGTTTGGTACAATTCTTTATCTGGATGATTCAAATTCTCTATTTCATTTTAAAAATTTAAATAACCAGGTTTTACTTTTCTTAAAGTCCTTTTAGATATGAGACATTAGGAAAAAGGATCAACTTTCACCATCCTAAATATTAGCATAAGATATTAAACATTCTGTTTAACTTAAATTAGGCAGTTTAAGATATGCTACACTGATAACATAATCACGTACACTTGGCAATAAAGTGATTGGCATCTTTATTGGGAGATATGGAGGTAAAATTATTCCCTGAGAGTGAGGCATTTGGCTACACATTTGTCGATATCCTTTCCTGTATAATTTAGGTCTCACAGACAGAAAAGGGTTGAAAAACAGAAATCAAGGAACCTCCATCAAGTGGTAAAAAATCAGGTCTCAGGGTGGCAATGAAGGTAGAGCATTGTTTAAAAAACCCCAAATCCTCGGTCCTCCAAATAGAAACAGCCCGTGAGCAAGGTGGGTATTATTAGCACGAGACTGGCGTTCTTCTAATTATCTCAAGAGAAAGTGAGTATTGGCTTTCCAAGTGAACCCCTCCAGTCCAGGGATATGTGCACATCACACCTGGGCCTTTCAGTTACAAATCCACCTCCTTAAGGAGCCGTGTGAAAAAGCAAGAACAATCAATAAGAAAAAAAATCCTCCCAGCTATAAATCAGCCACGTGGAGCTGCTGCAGCGGCGGCGGTAGCCCTGACTTCCTGGTTGGCTTCCTGCAAGCCTTGCGGCTGGGGGCTCCGGGTAGTGGGTGTAAGAAAGGGAAGGGCAGCCAGCAGCCGCTCCAGGTCCGCGGGGAGGGGGGCGGCGGGCCGTGGGGAATCCTGGAGGGCACGGGCGTTAAGGACAGAGTTATGGCCCATAATTAAAACAAAAGTTTGGGAATCTGGAAGCTTTCAGAGCTGAGCAGTGGGGCAAAGGCTAAGGACCAGAGCTGGGGCAAGTGTAAGTTAGTTACAAGGTAACAGGGAATTGCGAAGAGGGTTCTTGGGCACAGCGGTGAGAGAAGGGGACTGCGTGCCGGGAAGGGGGGTAGGTACACAGAAAGGAAGCTCAGAAGAGCGAGGCACACGGGTCGGTTGGAGCGCTGCGGAGGCCGGCGGGGGCGGGGGGGACGCGGCGCGGCGGCGGAGCGCAGTCCGAGCCGGCGAGCCGCGGGGAGGGGGCGGAGGGAAGAGCCCGGGGGAAGGTAGAGCCAAGGGGAGTTCCGGATCTGGAGCTGGAAAGGGCAGGCTGCGGAGAGGGCGGCAGCCGAAGCGGTAGGGGTGGGGGAGGGAGGAGGTGGAGAGCCGGAGGAGGGGGAAGGAGGGAGGGGAGAGCTGTGGCGGCGGCTGCGCCGGGCTCTGTGTCTCTCGCCGCCGGAGGAAGATGAGGCTGAAGATTGGGTTCATCTTACGCAGTTTACTGGTGGTGGGAAGCTTCCTGGGGCTAGTAGTCCTCTGGTCTTCCCTGTCCCCGCGGCCGGACGACCCAAGCCCGCTGAGCAGGATGAGGGTGAGTGACCCGCCCGCCCCCTCCGGCGGCGGCGACCTGCAACTTGTTTTGTTTGCGCGCGCGCGCGTGGCGGGAGCAGGGCGGCGGGGTCGGGGCGCGGCGTTGAGCCGCAGCTCCGCAGGTGGTGCTGGCGCAGCGCGGGCCGATCGGGGGGCGCCGAGCCCCGAGCACCCGGTCGCCGCTACCAGCCACCGGCCCGCCCCCTCGCCGCCCCTTCCTCCCGCGCTCCCCCGCCCCGGGCTCCGCCGGCGGCGGCGGTGCTCCACGCCGGCACTGCGGGGCGGAGCGGGAGGAGAGCGGGAGGAGAGCGGGGGCCGCGGCCGCCCAGCCCCCCGACTCCTCCGTGCGGGGACCGCCGCGGTCGCGGCCGGGGGACGCGGGGTTGGTCCAGGCTGCGGCCTGTGGCGCGTGCAGGCCTGAAGGAGGCGAGATGCTGCCGCTGCGATCACCGCCGCTCGGGACCAGGCCCCTCGGTGCAGCCTTCCCTCCCGCCACCGCCCGTCCAGGGATGCTCGCAGCCCCGGGCTCCCCCGGCCCGCCTGCGTGCGGGGGGTGGGAGGGAGATGGCGCCCCGCCTCCGGCTCGTACGGAGAGCGCCGCCTCCCCCCCCCAACTCCGGTGGCCGCGAGACGGGGTGCGATGGGAGGCCGAGGCCTCACCCCGGACCGGCCCTTCCTCTTCGCTTCCCCGGTGAGGGAGGGGCGGTTGGCCCGAGGTGGCTGAGGGGCGACCCCGCCCGGCTCGCGGGCCCCTCCACCGCAGTCCACACCGCGCCGGGGAAGCGTCGCCCGCCCGCCCGCCCGTCGGCTCCGGGCGGCTCTGTCCGGGGGACGTGGGGCTGGTTCCTCTTCCCGGGCTGTGGCAGGGCTGCTCGGGCCGGGAAACTAACTTGTGCCGGCGCCCCGCCGCTCGGCTTTGGCTGCGTGCTCGCCCAGCCCGGCCGCTCCGCTGGGACGCATTTGTCTGCCGCCGGAGGCGCGAGTGTTAGCTTGGACACTCCGTTGCTTTTGAGGGTTTAGTCAGGCGCCTCGGAACGTTACTTACCGTGAGCCGCGCCGGGAAGGGGCCGCGGCGCCTGCGGCTTCGCTGACCCAGTTGGTTGGCTGCATACCGGCTTCTCCCCCCCCGCCCCGCCCCAGCCGGATCCGCTCCCCGAAAAGGAGCCGCCTCCTTCCTCATCGCGGAGCCCGGGATAGCCCGCCGGGCCCGCTGCCCTTGGGGGTGAGGGAGGGCGCCAAGGGTTCAGGGCCACTGAGCGGCCGGGGGGCCTTGGGTGGAGTTAGGCTCTGCAGTAAAGTGCCTTTGGCAAATACTGTGTACATCGCGTCTGTGTGATCTCCTTTATTAACTTTCCTTAGCATTAACTTAGCATCAGAAAGTTGAATGGGAAGCCTTCCTTTTAAGAAGAATCCTAGGAAGAGCTTTCCTTATCCGTTTCTGTCTATATGGTGAAATTAGATTTACTCTTAAGTTTTAGTGTTTGAAGTCTTGACCCAAGTGGAATCTCTTTGTAACATCTGGGGTGGGCTCCCATCTAAGTCATCTAAGTCACTGATAATAAAAAGTACCAAGTTTTCCTTTAAGTGTGTTTGTGGTTTTAAGCCTCTCAGAACTCTTGCGCTCTTGGTGACCTCTTTATGGTTTTTTGCTTTCAGAATGATTGACAAGGGATAACTGAATATTGCAATCGAGAGTGTTTTAAGTCATTAAATGGCCTTTCACAGAAAGCTAGAAATGTTAGAACCCCATTTTCTGGGAGAGAAACTGAGGAAAGTCTGACGAAACTAGCCATGTTCGGAATGTCCTGTAGTTCCCATGACAAGTGTTTTATTAAAGAGGTCGTAGAACATCCACACCGATACCCATCTCTTGAAATACTTTACTAAAGTGGATATGTAATAAGTACCCAGCCACAAGGCTAGTCATTCAATGGCAGGTGGTGATATCTTGATTTTTTTGGTCCAACTTATTTGATAGTTTGTCACTGGGTCCACTGTAATTTCTGTCATTTGCCAAAGACAGAAGCTAGCTTTTTAAGACTTTTAAATATGATTAACACTGCAAAGAATGCTTATGGATCAGGAAAACCAAAACCTTTTATTAACTTTACGTAAATGTTACCTAAGCAATTTAAGGCATAACTTATGAATAATTACGACCATAAACAAGGGACTTTTGCCTCCTTTTATTAAAAACTATCCTAAGAACTTCTGAGATCTGGCACTAGAAGAACATTTCCTTTAGAGAAGGTTCTGACCAACCCGCAGATTCTGACTCCCGAGTTTCCCTTCTGCCTTCTAGTTCTTTTCCTTCGATTTATGGTTGCAGACACCTCTCCCCGCTGTGAGGCACCTGCCTCTTTAATGTTGATCCACCTTTGGGCTTTTTTTTTTGGATCCCTATAAATGCCTGTTAGTGGCTTGAAATAGGCTAGAACAACCAACCAAATAAAGGTTCTGCCTCAGCTTTGGCAAGCTTGTACTTGTGGCCCCAGCCTGTGCCACTGCTCGTCTTGTCCTTTCAGTGTTCCAGGCAGTAAAGTCTGTAGCAACCTGGTTTTTTGTTTTTTTGTTTTTTTTTAAGCCGGGACGACTTCTTTATATCTGCCCAGCTGTGGAGGTCACTATTACAAAACACATTACCCATGGTCAAGATGAGAAACACATTTCTTATCTCCTTCCTCATTCAGGGCCTTTTGCTGTTTTTTCTGAGGTAAATGATGTGCAAGATGATCTTACTGTTCAAATTGTACTCTGTTGTAGATGATGTGATTTATTCAACAAACATTTTTGAGTGCCTACTATGTACTAATGCTAGTTATCGAGGAAATGCTCCTTACCACTAACCCTGGATCTTACAGCTTTGTGGGAAAACACCCCACTTTAATCAAAACTCCACAAATCTGCAAATAGAAACTATGCTCCATGCTGTGAAGAAAAGCCTTAGGGGATAAGAGAACAGGAATTTGGTCATAAACGTCTTTTTTTCTTTTTAAAGATTTTATTTATTTATTTGACAGAGACACAGTGAGAGAGGGAACACAAGCAGGGCGAGTGGGAGAGGGAGAAGCAGGCTTCCCGCAGAGCAGGGAGCCCGATGGCGGGGCTCTGTCCCAGGACCCTGGGATCATGACCTGAGCCGCTTAATGACTGAGCCACCCAGGTGCCCCTGGTCATAAAAGTCTTACCTGAAGAAATGACTTAGTTGAAATTTGAAGATTTGAATACAGATAGTTGTTGACCTGGATGTGGGAGGAAGGCACTCCTCTAACAGGGAGAAGTATGTGCAAAGGTCCTGAGGTAGAAGGCAGTATAATGAACTGAGGAACTGGAAGAAGACCAGTAGAATTAGAACATGGAGGATGAGAGGAGAGGTGGAGTGAGGATGTAAACATAGTATGGGTCTTGCAGACCATGCTAAAGATGAGGTCTTTAGAGCAGCAGGAAACCGTTGAAGGATTTTTTAAGTAGGGAGACTTGATTAGATTTGTGTTTTGGAAGGATCATTCTGATTGCCTGCAGGAAGTATGAATTGATTTAGAGCAAGAACAGAGAGTAGGAGTCCTGTTGGAGGTTATAATAGTTCAGGTGGGACATGGCGTTGCTTGGATGGGTAGGGTGACAATGGAAGTGAAGAACTGATTCAAGAGCTATTAAAGATGCAAAGGTATCAGGACTAGTTGATTGGATGTGGGAGTGTAGAAGGCGTCAGGAGGTTTAGGATGATAGATTGTCACATTGAAAGTTCTGAAGACAAACATTCATACATTTTTATGTTTTATGGTTATGGGAAGGCTTCCTTTTTTAGGCTTTGTCCTCTGGATATTTTCAGGTCAGCATTTATTAAGACCATCTGTTTAGTACTTGCGAAGTGCAGAAAGTTCCTTTAATTAAATAAATTATGGTATCTCCTAGACCATACATCCCAAGTTTTAGCCCGGAGTTTAAAAATGAACCATAAGCTCCTGACAATAAAGGTTTGTAATGGAAGGGTTGAGCTCTTCAATGGTTTTATTATAGCTAATCCAGTGCACTGATGAGAAGCTGCTGGTAAATGGATGATTCTTTGTATGTGTAAATGCTATCTTAGTCAAACCATTAATGCCACGTAGGTTTAGAGCATACAGAGCAGGGCTGATTCAGGAATCCTTCCTAGGCAGGGAGGTTTTAAGGGATAACCTAAGACCCGTTGAAAGGAATATTGCTTAAATGAAGCTGAGTGACTGAATTGATTACCCTGTCACAGTCAAGTTCCACCTTACCAAACCCTTTTATCTCTGTGACAATTGATTGCAACCTGAAAGATTCTGCCCTTGACCTTAAGACTATTACAAATGGAAGCGCCATTGATATCATTAGGAATAGAGCTATCACTTAGCAAAGCGTAGTGTCTTAAGTGGTCACTGTTGTCTTACTTCCCCAGTTGAAATGCCTCAGGATTTGTTTTTGTTCTATTTTGCTGTCCTCCCTCACAGCTGTAATGAAAAACTCCCGTCTATGAACTCTAGGCGTTATAGACGTCCTGAAATTAATGCAGACTTCTGTGTACATGTGCTTTTTTTGGGGGGGGAGGTGAGAATCAAAAGCTTTCTCATTTCACTGTAAACCGCTGACTGAGTCCTTTGAAGGCAGGATTTATGTTTCTTGGAGCAGCTCATGGAGTATCTCCCCCATCTACCAGGGTGCTGAAGCATTCATTCACGTCTCCCCTTTAGGTCCGGACACCCCAGAAATGCAAACATTCCCAAGAATTCTAAATCTGTGGATTTTGTGGAAGTGTTACCCATCCAGTGGTCAAAGGTCAGGCATCAGTCCTGTTACGACCACACCTCTTCACCTCCCTCCCAGGAAGACCCCATTGGAGAATACCAAGAATACCTCAAGTAAAAATCCCTGTTATAAAGAGATCTCTTCCTAGTTGAAGAGATGCAATACTTGCATGGTCTGGGTTCCTTCCTTTCTTCCTTAATCCAGTAGCAATATAAGGAAACACTGACAGCTGTCATAGAACGTTTTGTCAAGAGCCAAATCAGGAGGTGGAGAAGGTGGAGAATAGCCATTCAGGGAGTGTACAATTATTCGTAAGGAAGGAATGAAAACTGGTAAGGAGCGGGTTGAATTTGGATAACTGTTTTGTGATTCCGGCTGGCTACATGGAATGGGAGATAAGGTGTGGGCTGCAACAATTAGTATAAGCTGCGTTAGATTAGTCACTCCTAAATTGGAGACAGAAGGAGAGAGAAAATAATGCAACATGAATGAAAATCAGAATTCTGATTTTCCAGAATTCTGGGCCATTTGTAAACAGAGTATTTGTAAATTCTAACTCCAGAGTTATGAAAGAGTTGGTCAGCAAGATTTGAGTGGCTCTTGAATGTAGGAAAATGATTGGGATTATCTGACTTCAACCTAGATCATTGTCTTTGTTCGTGTTTCGAATTCTAATTTTCATCCCTGAAGAATGAATGTGCAATGTGACAGAAGGAGAGAAGTGGTTAAATTAAGAATTTATAATCTCGGGGCTCCTGGGTGGCTCAGTTGGTTAAGCGACTGCCTTCGGCTCAGGTCATGATCCTGGAGTCCCAGGATCGAGTCCCGCATCGGGCTCCCTGCTGAGCAGGGGGTCTGCTTCTCCCTCTGCCCTCTTCCCTCTTGTGCTCTCTGTCTGTCATTCTCTCTCTCTCAAATAAATAAAAAATCTTTAAAAAAAAATTTATAATCTCTAGAATAAAATGGACATAGCTTCAGTTTAGGAAAGGAATGATTTTATGGTTGGGTTTTGTACAGTGGAAGAGGGGAAAGGGTGAGAGGGTGAGATATGCCTTAACAATGTGGACAGAATTCTTTGTAAGAATTGGGAGATATATTTTTATTAAAAGCGTGAGTCATTTACTCAACAAGTGTGAAATATTTGAGTGTTTACTAAGTGCCATCCATGGCTCTAGGCATTGGAGATGCTGTACTAGACAGTGGAAGAGATAAAAAGTGTTGACATAATAAAGATGTTACTCAGGTCTCGACCTAATAACTGCACAGTAGGTGTTGCATCCATAATGTAGTTTTCTTTTGATATATAAAGTTGGGCCTTTTCATAATACCTTCCGAACTCCAACCTTCCATTCGCCCAAACT